GCAGGTGATACACAGAGGGCTCCAGTCGTTTTTCTACAAGCTGGGTTTATTCGTGAGCAGGCATCCGGTGTTTTTCCTCACTGTGCCCGCAGTCCTGACCATCATCTTCGGCTTCAGCCTGCTCAACCGCTTCCAGCCTGACACTGACCTGGAGAGCCTGGTAGCCCCCAGCCACAGCCTGGCCAAGATCGAGAGGAGCTTAGCCAGCAGCCTTTTCTCCCTCGATCAATCTAAAAGCCAGCTGTATTCGGACTTGCACACCCCGGGGAGGTATGGCAGGGTGATTCTCCTCTCCAAACCCGGAGGCAATATTTTGCATCAGGCTGATGTGATCCTGCAGATCCACCGAGCCGTGCTGGAAATGAAGGTGAACTACAAAGGCTATAATTATACTTTTTCCCATCTGTGTGTGTTGAGAAATCAGGATAAGAAATGCGTGCTGGATGATATTATTTCAGTGCTAGAGGATCTGAGGCAGGCTGCCCTCTCCAATAAGACAACAGCCAGGGTGCAAGTGAGCTATCCCAACACTAAATTAAAGGTATGCTCTTACTGCATGCTTTTGCCAATTAAAGAGGCAGCACTTCATTTCTTGTCCTAAACAGCAAAGAGAAATATAATCATATCTATCTCTCTATATCTGTATGTGTGTGATCTGGGCTTTCCTCGGGAAGCAGCTGAAACCGGTGCCTTGCTATTGTTCTGTACGAGGAGGGAGGGTGGGGGGACTGTACGCGAACGCACCAGGAGAAGCGGGGAGTGAAGAGCCTCGGGACCGGGAGACCTTGCAATGCCTTGAAGGGTTAATACATCAGGGACAAGGGACAGGAGGTCGGTGGGGGGTTGAGAGCTGGGGTTTCACCGTCACCTTTTCCAGTCCCGCTGCCATGGTGGGGTAATTTATCTTTAATACGACCAGAAAAGGCTTTCCTCAAATGCACGGCGAGCTCCTGTATCTCCCTGCCTCTGCGAGTGCCTTAAGAGCAGCAGGAGGTTTGGGCCAGAAGCGATTTCAGGTGTCCTGCCTTCTTTTTCTTTACCTGCATGCAAAGAAGGGGAAGGCAGGTGGAATTTTTTCTCTCGGTGTGAAAATAATTAACTCTGCTGCTGATGGATGGGCTGGAGTTTTGGGACGGATCCCATCATCTAGAGGCTTCCAGCAAAGGCGAAACAAGGTAAAAGGTGAAAGGAGTTTCAGTCTTTCCAATTAAAAGAATAAACAATTTGGCACAAATGATCTCAGGGATATTTCCCCAGCACACAAGCACCCGTCTGCTTTCCCTCTCATCTGGAGCAATCCGGTTCACCAGGACTAACCTGCTATGAGCAAATAAGGTGCAAAGTTTGCAGGTGGCTGCTGAAAGAAGTTTCTGCAAATTACAGTACATCTGCATGCTCCCCCAGGCATTGCGCCAGAGGCAGGATTTATTTAACAGAGTGTAACGAACTCCCAAGCACACTAGTTACTCATGGCTTTGGTCACAGGGAGGAGGATATGGTCCTTCTTGTAAACCAGAGAGGCTCTTTGGTGTTACCTGTTCCCCTTTCTTCAAAGAGATGCTCAGGGATGAGTGAAGTAGTGCTCTTGCAAGTACTGGCCAGATCCTGAAGTTATCATTTGTTTCTCAATGTTCATTTACCCGGAAAAAAAGTAAAGCCAGTCCCTGCTCCAAAAAGTGAAGCAGAGACATAGATTGATTTTATTAGTCTTTTTGCTTCAGTAAAAGGACCAGCTGGGATTTGGTCTCGTTGCTCTAGATGGTATGGTAATAGCTGTGTGCAGAGTTGTGGCTGGCTGAGTTGAGTGTGGAAATGAAAAGGTGTCCTTGCTGTTGCTGGAAAGTCCTGAGCACAAGGAGTGCTCAGAAACACAAGTTATTCTGGATTAAATATCCCTGGACAAATTTTTTCTTTTAGTTTGCTGTGAAGACAATCCTGCTATTGCAGAATTGAAGTGCTGTTTTTTTCATTTTGCTTATTTTTAAACTCAAGATTAAGCTAGTTCAGTGGAGAACACTGATAATCTGGACTAACATAATTATAAACCAGCTTTACATGGAAATAATCATTGCACTCTCTCAATCCAGATCAATTTTCCTGTGTAGAGAAACCTTAACTGAGTGTGGCAAAACTAGGATGGGGTCACTTGCAATGTGTTTTTTTACTAGGAGAGTGCCTGCAGCTCCTCCTTTTTAAAGATAAAGGAAAAAATAACCTGGTCTAGATTAGAGATTTATTGGAGTAAGCGATCGGTAGATAATTCACACAGAGAAAGGTTTTCCCAAAGCCTTGATGTCTGGCTCTGAGCGCTGCTGAATACCAGCCCAGTACCTCCAATCCCCCAAGCAGTTGTTATGTACCATCTTCCGGATGAAGGAATAAATGCCCTTAAGTACCTAGGTTTAAAGTTGGACAGAGCAGGCGGCTTCCTACCCACTTCTTAGTGAAGTGAGGTAAAGCTACCAAAATCTGTGACTGCACTTTAGAGAAAAGCTAATGATTACAACCCATTTCTGTGGAAAGGGAAAGTCCCTGGTGTTACTGAGAAAGAGAAACACACTTTGCCACGGTTTTTCTTTTTCTGATACGGTAAGAACTCTGTTGTGGGACCGCTGTCAGCCCTGAACCTGGACTGGCCTTCAGCTATGGTGTGTCCTCGGAGACTCACCTTCTCTGGTCTCTTTGGCTCCAGCTGCTGGGAATAAATTATTACTTTGTATAGATTAATTCACTATGTGAGCCCCATCTCTGTCATCTCTGTTGTCCCATCGACCAAGCTACAGGGTTCGGAAGTTGTGGGCAAACATCTCTTGCTCTCCGTCAAGCCATGGCCAAAATATTGATTTAATCTAGGCTCCCAGGCTCTTTACTGACCTCCCTCTCTCTGCACTTCTGAGCAAAGACTGTAGAAACCCAGGGCTGTGTTGCATGTTTTGGGGTGTCTAGATGTGTTTAACCAGAAATACCTCCGTTGCTGCACCCACTAGGGTAGATCAGTCCCTGGATGCTCAGCAAAGGGAACAACCCCTGTGGCTGTAGCTGTGAGGTTTTTTTATTTCTTTTTACTTGAGTCGTGACAGGAAGGAGCAGTTGTGGCTAGACCTCATGGGAATGCAAACAAGAGAGTGCAATCTGGCTTCCCTTATTCAGTGTGTACCAGCGTTCACCACACTCACCGGTCCATGTCCTTGGGCGCATTCTCAGCTAAACTTTCCTGCACCGTAAGGACCCACTAGCATCTTCTAGGTTGCCTCATTTTCTGAAAAGACGCATTGCTTGGTTAATACTGGTAGATTTTGCTCTGTCTTGTTCTTTTAATAATGGCCTCAGATTGAATAAAATTCTTCTAAGAACAATACAGTGGTTTTACAAAACATGAAGGTGTCCCAGATGGGTTTAGTCTGCAGCTGACATGGGTCAAGTGTCGACCTTTTCTGATTTGGGAACCACTATGACAATGTTGAGCTGTTCCCACCGCTCTCCTGCTCCGTCTGTGAGCTGCAAAAACATCCTGCAGTTTTTTCTTTCCCTCAAGTCTTGTGAGCAGCTCTCGCTTTGTCCCTCTTCTGGTCTTCTGTTGGAGCCCAGATTGGTTTGATTTGCTCAGGTGAGCTCTTACCAGGTCATTCACGGGAACTTTGTGGGAGCTGTAGGAGCAGGTTTCAGCAAACTGCTCTGGTGTTGAAACAGCTGTTATTGGGCTGCAAAATCTAATGAAACTGCTTGGCTTTTCCTAAGGGAATCTAGCTGTGAAGGGTAACAATTGTTTAATCGTTACTTGCTCTATTGTTGGAAGACCTTATAGCCTTGAATACACCTGTCTTCACTGCCCCTCTCTAAGTTGGGAAGTCTTGGTCTCTCCGCTCACCGGAGGAGGAGCAGAGAGATGGCACTTACATCCAGAGTGCAGACTGCAGTGTGGTTTCAGATGCCTGAGATGAGATTAAAATCCACTCTGGCAACACAGGGGTCATTGTAGGCTAGTTTAGTCTTCTCAAAGGGAAGGTGAACCAGGCTGTACGAAAATGCCTGCTCCCGTTGCTTTGGGGACACTCTCTAGCCCGTTCACAGCTATTGCTATGCTATGCTGCAGTCTGCAGCCCAGCCAGAAGAGTGACTTGCCCAAGGTCATGCAGATAGACCGTGGTGGAGCAGGAAAACAAAGCTGAATGTATGAAGTCTTGATGAAGATACGTCCTGGAGCAAGATTGCTCGTGCTTTCCCCATCCCAGGACAAAAAAAAAAAAGTTATGTTCCTGTGTTTGGGATCTGGATTGTGACCTAACCACATAGACTAGGCAAGTCTATACACTAAGAACTGACCCTCAGACATGAAACTGTTAAATTGCAAGTTTTAACAAATCCCGGCGTCATTTTTTGTCGATTAAGACTTCCAGGACAGTGTCTGGGCACGGCTTGGGAGTTAGCATGGGAAGGGGTCCATTCCTGGTTGGTATATCTACTCCATTCTGGGGATAACAGTGCGTATCTGCTTGGGTATGTTGTGCCCCTGCTCCCAGGGCCAGAGCATGGTCTGAGGCACATTTTATTTGTTGGTATGAACAGAATTATTGATTACATGGGGATTACTTCTTGTGCACTATCAGATAGGAGGAAGGAGATTGGTTTATGACCCTGATTTGCCAATAACCCCAGAAAATTTGCTGTCCTTATCAGGAAAAAAGAAAAAAAAAAATCACTACAAAGAATAAGAATGATTTCTGACCACAGTCCTTATCCAGGAGAAAAAAAAGTGTGAAAGCATTTTTTCAAGTATTTCGCCTTTACTGTTTCTTTTCATGTTTATTTGCTAGTTTGAGAAAACATAATAACTTAGAACTTACGTCTCTGAGATCAGAGCAAATGTGACAACTGCTGGTTAAAAGGAAACTTTGTAAGCAGATTGGTTTTTGTAATACTGCCTTCAATTAATTAAGTATCAGTCATTTATGAACACTAAGCTAAACAGCAGCCAATAAAACAGACATCTCTATTACCACATTTGTGATAAGCACATCAGCTGGATATTGAATCCTTTATTGCTTAAGTAGAAAAGTTACTTGCATTCACTTAGCATCTTGAAACCTGTAATTGCAGACTTGCTACTGGCCAGATTCTCAATTTTTCTCACGCTGACAGCTGTACTTTTAAATAAGCCTTGCTCCGTTTGCATTCGTGGAGTCTTTCCCACTGCTCTAAGATTAATTCTTCGTTACCTGACCCTGAGGCACCAACCACCTCCATGGGACAGAGAGGCAATAAAACCAGAGCACACCTACATCAGAGTAGGCATCTGCATATCAATAATATCCACAAACTATTTATTCCTTCAGTAAAGTTGGTTCAAGTATAAGATTACTCTGACTCCAAGGACCAGATGGTTCCTCAGAGGCAATACAGCTCTGTAGCCATTTGTGATACCACCTGTCCCAATCCAAGCCTGTGGCTCAGGATGTGTTCTGTAGCTGGCAAAAGTTGCTAAGTCAAAGCAAAATAATAAAACATGAGCAGGAAGAGGATCAGAAGAGGAAGGCTGGAGGC